CCAACCCCCTGCCAAGAAGCAGGAATAGTGGTCAGCCTTTGGGGCTCGGAGTTGGTCCCCCCAGGGGAGGCGGTCATTTGGCATAGATAATCATATCTCAATAAGACAAAGGGAGCCTTCGGAAAGCCACCCTTTGTCCTGATCTGTTACTCATTTAAATCTCCTTCCACCGAAACTTCAGCCAAAATTCCCACATTGTTTCTATATCTCAGCACCCAGAAAATCCGGATCTGGCAGGCTTGCCAGACATCAATGTTTATTATAGCCAATCAAAGACAATAGGAATGGCTGGCTCGCAGGCCCCCAGGACTCGCTGGCCGCTTGGACATTTCCTATCTCCATAATGCTCTCAAGAATCCATTGTTTTCCTCTCGTCCTGCCTCCCTCTCCCCTGATTCGTCAGGGAGCCGAGGCGGCAGAAGCTCAGCCATTGGCCCAGGCGCTCGGGAGGCGGCCAAGCCGTAGCGCGCCAGCCAATCATCGTTGAGCTGGCAGAGGGGTGGGGAGCGGGAAATTCAAATCTGACAGCTCGGTTTCTGTATAAAAAAGGCTTTTGTTTGTGTACATGTTATGCTTTGCTTGGTGAATTATTGCAGCTTTGCATCCTTTCCAGCTGGATCCCAATAAAATCATCTCGGTGGTGCTTCCTTCAATTTTGGTGAGATTTCTTTTGGGAACTTAGGAAAATCTTTTAAATTGCGGGTTCTCTTTGCTCACCATTGTAGAGAGCCCTCTTTGGTGGGTCCGCAGGGTCTCTCCTTCAGGGCAAGACCCTTTTAAATTCCCCCTCGATTTCATTTGGAGCCCCAGATGTTACTAAACGACAACTCCCATCTCTTTTGATGATCTGCCCTGCAGACTGGGGATGATGGGAATGGCAACCCAGCAGCCCTTAAATAATAATAATAGAATGTGTTGTCGAAGGCTTTCATGGCCAGAATCACTGGGTTGCTGAAAATTTTCTGGGCTGTATGGCCAAGTTCCAGAAGCATTGTCTTCAGACATAGCCATGTATAAATATATTGTTGAAGGCTTTCATGGCCGGAATCACTGGGTTGTTGTAGGTTTTTTTGGGCTATATGGCCATGTTCTAGAGGCATTCTCTCCTGACATTTCGCCTGCATCTATGGCAAGCATCCTCAGAGGTAGTGAGGTCTGGGAACAAGGAAAATGGATTTATATATCTGTGGAATGACCAGGGTGGGACAAAGGACTCTTGTCTTTTGGAGCTAGGTGTGAATGTTTCAACTGACCACCTTGATTAGCATTTGATGGCCTGGCAGAGCCTCGGGCAATCTTTTGTTGAGAGGTGATTAGATGTCCTTGATTGTTTCCTCTCTGTTGTTTTGCTGTTGTAATTTTAGAGTTTTTTAATACTGGTAGCCAGATTTTGTTCATTTTCATGGTGGGTTTTCCAGACTGTCTGGCTAGTTTCCAGTTTCCAGAAGCATTCTCTCCTGATGTTTTGCCCACATCTATGGCAGGCATCCTCAGAGGTTGTGAGGTCTGTTGGAAACTAGGCAAATGGAGTTTATATATCTGTGGAATGATGTCCAGGGTGGCAGAAAGAACTGTTGTCTGCTTGAGGCAAGTGTGAATGTTGCCGTTGGCCACCTTGATTAACATTAAATAGATAGTAGACTGTGACCCCTTAGTGGAAATATATTATCTGATAAATAATTATAGAACATTTATAGATAGAAAGTATTGCACTGTATGCAACAAACACTTGCAAATGTATGTCTACTTAAATAAAATAAAAATAATTAAAAGAAAAAAAATTAAATGGCCTTACAGCTTCAAAGCCTGACTGGTTCCTGCCTGAGGATCCTTTGTTGGGAGGTGTTAGGTGGGCCTGATTTGATTCTTGTCTAGAATTCCCCTGTTTTCTGATTGTTGCTGGAAATGCTGTGATAGCCATACTTCCCAAAAATCTCAGTTTGGTAGAGAATAGCCTTGATCAGTCCTCTCTCCACCCCCTTTTAAAATGCCCCTGTTGCTATTGCATTGAGCCAAGGCAGTTAAAGTGGGGTCAAAACTGCATCACATCTACAGTCCACAGGCAATCTGGGCCAAACAGAAAAGCGGCGTGAAATTGCATTCACTACATGGGTGTTAAGATCCATTGAATGACATGGGACTTTACTTAAAACTCAAAGGAAAAAACACAGGGTTTCCAAGGCTTTGCAGAATACCTGGCCGCTCTAAACGAGTTCAAGTCCCCGGGGCCAGATCAACTGAAGGACCGAGCGGAAGTCATCATGGAACCATTGGTAATCATTTTTGAGAGTTCTTGGAGAACGGGAAAAGTCCCATCAGAGGGCCAATGTTGTCCCAATCTTCAAGAAGGGAAAAAAGGGTGACCCAAACAATTATCAGCCTCACATCATTACCAGGCAAGATTCTGGAAAAGATCATTAAGGAAGTGGTCCGCAAACACTTAGAAACAAATGTGGCCATCGCTAATAGTCAACATGGATTTATCAAAAACAAGTCATGCCAGACTCATCCGATCTCTTTTTTTGATAGAGTTACAAGCTGGGTAGATGCGGGGAATGCCGTGGATCTAGGGTAGCTGGACTTTAGTAAGGCCGTCTACAAGGTCCCCCACGACCTTCTGGCAAGGAAACTAGTCCAATGTGGGCTAGGCAAAACTACGGTGAGGTGGATCTGTAATTGGTTAAATGGACAAAATCTTCATCCTGGAAGAAGTGACAAGTGGAGTGCCACAAGCAGGGTTCGGTCCTGGGCCCGGTCCTGTTCAACATCTTTATTAACGACTTAGATGAAGGGTCTAGAAGGCAGGATCATCAAGTTTGCAGACGACACCAAATTGGGAGGGATAGCCAATACTCCAGAGGACAGAAGCAGGATTCAAAACGATCTTGACAGATTAGAGAGATGGGCCAACACTAACAAAATGAAGTTCAACAGGGACAAATGCAAGATACTCCACTTTGGCAGAAAAAATGAAATGCAAAATGGAACTGACAATGGAAGCTCATGTCGCTGCTGCCAGCAAACAGGCCTTTTTCCATCTACGACAAGCGAGGCAACTGGCACCCTACCTATCTGACGAGGCTCTGGCAACTGTCATCCATGCCACGGTCACGTCTAGGCTGGACTATTGCAACGCCCTGTATGTGGGCCTTCCGATGTCTACGACCCGAAAGCTTCGTATTGTTCAGAATGCGGCAGCCGGGCTACTCACAAGAACTCCCATGAAATGCCATATAACACCAGTGCTGCAACATTTACATTGGCTTCCAACTGAGTACCGTGGCCTGTATAAGATGCTAGTTCTGACCTTTAAAACTCTTTACGGCCAGGGTCCATCGTACCTTAGGGACTGCCTCTCCTTCTCCCTTCATCAGAGGTTGCAACGACCAGCCCAACGCGACTTACTCCTAGAGAAGTGTACTTGGAAAGGACCAGATGCAAATGGGCTTTTTCTATTTCTGCCCCTGCCTTGTGGAATTCCTTGCCGCCCTACATGAGAGCCATGCGTGACTTAGGGCCTTTTACTCTCGCACTTAAGACCTGGCTTTTTACTAGAGCATTCGATCTCTGTTGATTTTTAATTTTTGTATGTATGTATTTTATCTTTTGTAATTTAGCTGTAAATCGCCTGGAGCATTCTCGGATGGAGGGCGATTAATAAGTTATTAAATGATGATGATGATGATGATGATGATGAAAAATACAGAATGGGGGACGTGTGGCTCGAGAGCAGTATCAAAGAATCAAAGAGTTGGGAGAGACCTCATGGGCCATCCAGTCCAACCCCCTGCCAAGAAGCAGGAATATTGCATTCAAATCACCCCTGACAGATGGCCATCCAGCCTCTGCTTAAAAGCTTCCAAAGAAGGAGCCTCCACCACACTCCGGGGCAGAGAGTTCCACTGCGGAACGGCTCTCACAGTCAGGAAGTTCTTCCTCATGTTCAGATGGAATCTCCTCTCTTGTAGTTTGAAGCCATTGTTCCGCGTCCTAGTCTCCAGGGAAGCAGAAAACAAGCTTGCTCCCTCCTCCCTGTGGCTTCCTCTCACATTTATACATGGCTATCATATCTCCTCTCAGCCTTCTCTTCTTCAGGCTAAACATGCCCAGCTCCTTAAGCCGCTCCTCATAGGCCTTGTTCTCCAGACCTTTTATCATTTTAGTCGCTCTCCTCTGGACACATTCCAGCTTGTCAATATCTCTCTTGAATTGTGGTGCCCAGAATTGGACACAATATTCCAGGTGTGGTCTAACCAGAGCAGAATGGAGGGGGAGCATTACTTCCCTGAACCTAGACACTATGCTCCTATTGATGCAGGCCAAAATCCCATGTGGCGAGGAAGCCACAGGGAGGAGGGAGCAAGCTTGTTTTCTGCTTCCCTGGAGACTAGGAGGCAATGGACAATGGCTTCAAACTACAAGAGAGGAGATTCCAACTGAACATGAGGAAGAACTTCCTGACTGTGAGAGCCGTTCAGCAGTGGAACTCTCTGCCCCAGAGTGTGGTGGAGGCTCCTTCTTTGGAAGCTTTTAAACAGAGGCTGGATGGCCATCTGTCAGGGGTGATTTGAATGCAATATTCCTGCTTCTTGGCAGGGGGTTGGACTGGATGGCCCATGAGGTCTCTTCCAACTCTTTGATTCTATGATTGTACAAGAGAGGAGATTCCATCTGAATATTAGGAAGAACTTCCTGACTGTGCGAGCTGTTCACTAGTGGAACTCTTTGCCCAGGAGTGTGATGGAGGCTCTTTCTTTGGAGGCTTTGAAACAGAGGCTGGATGGCCATCTGTCGGGGGTGCTTTGAATGCGATTCTCCTGCTTCTTGGCCGAATGGGGTTGGACTGGATGGCCCATGAGGTCTCTTCCAACTCTAGGATTCTAGAGATGGATCCATGGCTCCGCTCTCCCTTGCTTCTGCCTGACTCCTGGATCCCCTCCCCCTTCCCTCTCCGTTTTGCCACTGCCATCCTCTCGCCTGGGCCCGGACTCTCGCGACGTTTCGCGCTTCCGCTTCCGGGTTTGCTGCAGTCGCTAAGGGCTGTGCGGGCGTTGCTAAGAGAGGCCTAACGGAAGCAGCATGGCGGGAAGCCGGTTGGAGAAGTTGGGGACCGTCTTTAGCCGGTGAGGGAGGCCTTTTTGTCATTCCTAACAGGACCTAAAATAATTGTGTTTGAAACGAACCTCAGCATAAACATAAATGGATGTCTGATGGGTTGCTGTGAGTTTTCCGGGCTGTCTGGCCATGCTCCAGAAGCATCCTCAGAGTTTGTGAGGTCTGTTGGAAACTAGGCAAGTGAGGTTTATATATCTGTGGAATGTAACAATTGGCTACCTTGATTAGCATTTAATAGCCTATTATTTATTATTATTATTAACTTTATTTGTACCCCGCTAGCATCTCCCGAAGGACTCGATGCGGCTTACAAAGGCCAAGGCCTCACACACAATATAACAATACAAAACATAAAGCAAATTAAAAACAATTAAAGCAATATTAAACAACAAGCAATAAACAATACACCAAGACACAATAAAACTGAGCTGGGCCAGAGTAATGGGTACAGGATTAAAAGTGCTGATGTGACAGGTGATACGTAAGGATTATAGGGTAGGTGCAATGTTCAGTGTGCGGCAATCTTAGTTCTAATAAAGTGCTTCTGGGACTTGATATTGGAAATTTCCTATTCTGGAAAGGACAGCCAGGTCTTCAAGATCTTTCTAAAGACCGCCAATGTAGGGACCTGTCTAAGATCTTTGGGAAGGGTGTTCCAGAGTCGAGGGGCCACCAAAGAAAAGGCCCTGTCTCATGTCCCCACCAAACGCGCCTGCGACACAGGCAGAATCACGAGCAGGGCCTCTCCGGATGAACGAAGTGCGCGCGTGGGCTCAGGTAGGATGGTCCCAAACCGTTTAGGGCTTTGTAGGTAAGCACCTGCACCTTAAATTGGGCTCTGAAGATAAACGGCAGCCAGTGGAGCTCCTTGAACAGGAGGGTTGACCTCTCTCTGTAATGAGCCCCAGTTAACATCCTGGCTGCTGCCCGTTGGACCAGTTGGAATTTCTGAGCCGTTTTCAAGGGCAGCCCCACGTAGACCGCATTACAGTAGTCCAATCTAGAGGTGACCAAGGCATGGACCACCCCGGCCAGATCAGCCTTCGCGAGGTACGGTCGCAGTTGGCGCACAAGTCTCAGTTGTGCAAAAGCCCTCCCAGACACCGCCGACGCCTGAGCCTCAAGCGTAAGCGATGAATCCAAGAGGACTCCCAAACTGCGGACCTGTGGCTTCAGGGGGAGTGTAACCCCGTCCAACACAGGTTGCCACCCTATACCCCGGTCAGGTTTACGATCGACCAGGAGGACCTCTGTCTTGTCGGGATTGATCTTCAGCTTGTTCCTCCTCATCCAGATAGACACAGCGGCCAGGCACTCGTCCAACACCCGAGAGGCCTCCTTGGAATTAGGTGGAAAAGAGTAGTAGAGTTGTGTGTCATCTGCGTAGAGGTGGCACCTACCTCCAAAACTCCGGATGACCTCTCCCAGCAGTTTTCAAGGTCTGGCTTCTTACCCCCTGGGGGAATCCTTTGTTGGGAGGTGATTAGCAAGTGAGGTTTATCATCATCATCTTTAATTACTTATTAATCGCCCTCCATCCGAGATGCTCTAGGCGATTTACATTGCAGAAATTATACAGCATTAAACACATACATACAAATATTAAAATTAACATGGGTCAAATGCTCTAGTAAAAAGCCAGGTCTTAAGTGCTAGGATGAAATGCCCTAAGTCACGCATGGCTCTCAAATAGGGAGGCAAGGAATTCCATAAGGCAGGGGCAGAAACAGAGAAGGCCCTGCGTCTGGTGCTTTCCAAGTGCACTTCTCTAGGGCCCGGCATATAGAGCAAATCGCGTTGGGATGGTCATGGCGACCTCCGATGATGGTAGAAGGAGAGACAGTACATGTGGAATGTCTAGTTGGGAGAACGAACTCTCGTCTGCTGGAGGCAAGTGTGAATGTTGCAATTGGCTGGCTTTATTAGCACTCAATAATAATAATAATAATAATAATAATAATCCACCTCAGACATCAGAAGAGCTGCAAGATCGAGAACAAGCCACAAGAGTCAAGACAAAGATCCACCCAGAGGAAAAGTGTTCTTGCCATACATCAAGGGAACCACTGACCGCATAGGGAAGCTGATGAGGAAACACAACATACAAACTATCTACAGACCCACCAAGAAAATCCAACAAATGCTACATTCAGCAAAGGACAAGAGGGATCCTCTCACTTCTGCAGGAGTCTACTGTATACCATGCAGCTGTGGACAAGTCTACATAGGGACCACCAAACGCAGCATTGCCCAAACACGAATCAAGGAACATGAAAGGCACTGCAGACTACTTCAACCAGAGAAGTCAGCCATAGCAGAGCACCTGATGAACCAACCTGGACACAGCATATTATTTGAGAACACAGAAATGCTGGACCACTCTCACAACCACCATGTCAGACTACACAGAGAAGCATGTGGACAATTTCAACAGAAAGGAGGAAACTATGAAAATGAACAAAATCTGGCTACGAGTATTAAACTCTAAAATTACAACAGCAAAACAACAGAGGGAAAACTATTATTATTATTATTATTAACTTTATTTGTACCCCGCTAGCATCTTACAAAGGCAAAGGCCTCAAACATAACATAAACAATACACAACTTAAAGCAAATAAAAAACAATTAAAGCAAAATTAAAACAACAAAACAATAGGAACAATACACCAAAACACAAAGTAAAGGGTACAGATTAAAGGGTACAGATTAAAAGTGCTGATGTGACAGGTGGTATATCGGATTTCAGAGTAAGTGCAGTGTGCCAACAATCTTAGGTTCTACTAAAATGCTTTTGGGACTTGTTGGAGTTTTCCTATTCTGGAAAGGCACATCGGAACAGCCAGGTCTTCAAGTTCTTCCTGAAGACTGCCAACATAGGGCCTGTCTAATATCTTTGGGGAGGGTGTTCCAGAGTCGGGGGGCCACCACAGAAAAGGCCCTGTCTCGCGTCCCCACCAGACACGCCTGCAACGCAGGCGGAATCGCGAGCAGGGCCTCTCCAGATGAACGAAGCAAGCACGTGGGTTCATAGACGGAGATGCAGTGACGCAGGTAGGATGGTCCCAAACTGTTTAGGGCTTTGTAGGTAAGCACCTGCACCATGAATTGGGCTCGGAAAATAAACGGCAGCTAATGGAGCTCCTTGAACAGGGACATCTAATCACCTCTCAACAAAAGATTGCCCCAGGCACTAACAAGCCACACCAAACAACAGCCAGGCCATCAAATGCTAATCCAGGTGGTCACCTAGCTCCAGCAGACCACAGTTCTTTGTCCCACCCTGGTCATTCCACAGATATATAAACCCTTTTTCCTAGTTCCAATAGACCTCACTACCTCTGAGGATGCTTGCCATAGATGCAGGCGAAACGTCAGGAGAGAATGCCTCTAGAACATGGCCATATAGCCCGAAAAAACCTACAACAACCCAATATAATATATCATAATATATTTTATATTACATAGAATCATAGAATCAAAGAGTTGGAAGAGACCTCATGGGCCATCCAGTCCAACCCCCTGCCAAGAAGCAGGAATATTGCATTCAAATCACCCCTGACAGATGGCCATCCAGCCTCTGTTTAAAAGCTCCCCAGAGGGGACTCGGGGTGGCTTACATGAGGCCAAGCCTGGTAATACAATTACAGCACAATAAGTACAGAACAGCAAAAATAACATCACAATAAAATAAATAAAACATAAGAATAAAATAAAACAGTGCAAAATACAAAGTGAAAATCAAACACAGCGGGCGAGATGTACAACATAAAATGATAAAACTCTGGATGAGATAACAATGAAAAATATGTATTTGTAAGGGAGGAGGCTTCCTTTCTGCTTCCCTGGAGACTAGGATGCAGAACAATCGCTTCAAACTACAAGAAAGGAGATTCCATCTGAACATTAGGAAGAACTGCGAGAGCCATTCAGCAGTGGAACTCTCTGCCCCGGAGTGTGCTGGAGGCTCCTTCTTTGGAGGTTTTTAAACAGTGGCTAGATGGCCATCTGTTGGGAGTGCTTTGAATGGGATTTTCCTGCTTCTTGGCAAGGGGTTGGACTGGATGGCCCATGAGGTCTCTTCCAACTGTAGGATTCTATGATTTTAGGAGCTTGTAGGGGACGGAACAGTGGAGTCAGGCCTTCAGAAAGGTAGGTGTGTGTGTGTGTGTGTGTGTGGGGGGGGGGGATTCAATATGAGGACAACATTGTGGGAGAGACAACAGGAAAGAAATCTATGGTCACTCTCCAAAGGCACATCGGAAGAGCCAACTTTTTAGATCCTTCTTAAAGGCAGCTAGGGTAGGGGCTTGCCTAATCTCACCAGGTAAAGAGTTCCACATCTAGGGGCCACAGCGGAGAAGGCGCTCTCCCTCGTTCCTACAAGTTGTGCCTGTGATGGAGGAAAGGACGAAAAGAGGGCCTCCCCCGAGGATCGAAGAGATCATGTGGGTTTATGGAAGGAGATGCGTTCACGAAGGTAGGCGGGTCCCAAACCGTTTAGGGCTTTATAGGTCATAATCTGTATCTTGAATTGGGACCAGAAAATGAACGGCAGCCAGTGGAGCTGCCGATGGAATAGCCTTGCAGCTTCAAAGCCTAGCAGATTGCTACCTAGGGGAATTCTTTGTTGGAATATGTTAACTGGCCCTGATAGTTTCCTGTCTGGAATTCCCCAGTTTTTTGAGTGTTGCTCTTTATTATCCTGATTTTAGAGGTTTTTAAAATACAGCCTTAGTAATTCTGGGAGTTGAAGTCCAAAACACCTGGAGGGCCGAAGTTTGCCCATGCCTGGTCTAGTCGTAGCATCATATTAGTAAGGCCTAGTTTTGCCTAGCCTCACCCAATCCTCATGGAGAGTCTTGATATTTTGGCCTTTTTAGGACGCGGGACTTGCTGCGCTCCGGGGTGATGCCTGAAGCCAAGAAACCCATCTGGTACGATGTTTATGCTGCCTTTCCTCCTCTGAAGGAGCCTCTCTATCGGAATCCTTGTCCTCGCTACACCAAAGACGAAGACCTCGTGCCTCCCATCTTCTATCCCGAGGATCAAATCCGAGCGTAGGTTGATTTCTCTCTTTTCAAACATGCAATTGACCTACACTTCATTCAGTATGTATGTATGTATGTATATATATCTTGTAAGCCGCTCTGAGTCCCCTTCGGGGTGAGAAGAATAGCATATAAATGTTAGAAATAAATAAATAAATACCACAATGCTGGCTGTATACCAGGTATAGGCAATTTTCGGCCCTCCAGGTGTTTTGCACTTCAAATACTGTTAGGAATTGTGGGAGTTGAAAATGCTAGGAGGGCCAAAGTTTGCCCATGCCTGATATATAATGACAATTTGGAATGGCCATGGATTATAATTTTGATAATGTGATTTTAATAAATGTTTTAAGGTTTGATATGTTTTTAATTATTGTTTTAATATATATGTTTATTTTATTATGTATGTATGTTTACATGGCATCAAATTGTTGCCTATATGTTAGCCACCTTGTGTCCCTTACAAGGTTGAGAAAGGCAGGGCATAAATAGTGTAAATAAATGAATAAATAAACTCCCATGATTCCATAGCATGGATCCCTGGCAGTTAAAGTGATGTCAAACTGCATTAATTCTACAGTGTAGATGCACCCTTGGTGTTTCAGGCCATCATTCAAAACATGACAGAAGGGGATAAAAATTGACCTAGGGGTTGTGTTAGTAGTTTCTCAACCTAGGGGTTGGGACCCTGGGGGGGGGGTTATGAGGGGGTTGTCAGAGGGGTAGCCAAATACCATCAGAAAACACAGTGTTTCTGTTGGTCATGGGGGTTCTGTGTGGGAAGTTTGGCCCAATTCTATCATTGATAGGATTCAGAATAATAACTAGTAAGGGACTCGGGGCAGCTTACTTACATCACAATGTGCCTAAAACAACACATAAAATAAAACACAATACAATGTTATTGTATGCTCTTTGATTGTGGGTGAACTATAAATTCCAGTAACTACAACTCCCAAATGTTAAGGTCTATTTTCCCCAAACTCCATCAGTGTTCACATTTGGGCATATTGAGTATTCGTGCCAAGTTTGGTCTAGATCCATCATTGAGTCCACAGTGCTTTCTGGATGTAGGTGAACTACAACTCCCAAACTCAATGTCAATGCACACCAAACTCTTCCAGTATTTTCTGTCAGTCATGGGAGTTCTGTGTGCCAAGTTTGGTTCAATTCCATTGTTGGTGGAGTTCAGAATGCTCTTTGATTGTAGGTGAACTATAAATCCAAGCAACTACAATTCCCAAATGACAAAATTAACCCCCAACCCCACCAGTATTCAAATCTGGGCGTATCGGATATCTGTGCCAAATTTGGTCCAGTGAATGAAAATCCATCCTGCATATCAGATATTTGCATTACGATTCATAACAGTAGCAACATTACAGTTATGAAGTCGCAACGAAAATAATGTTATGGTTGGGGGTCACCACAACATGAGGAACTGTCTTAGAGGGTTGCAGCATTAGGAAGGTTGAGAAACTGTTCTAGAGAATACTGTCAGCCATTCATGCAATTTGAAACTTATTTGGTGATTTATTTATTAGGAAATTTTATGAAGTTTATGGAAATGGCCCCAAAGCTTTTGAGCTCTCTAGATTAAGCTTCAAATCTGCTTGTCAAAGGTAAGTGACGAATTTCCATTCTAGTTGTTAAATAAACATTGTTTCCATTGCGTGCTCTTCTTTGAATAGCCACATTTTCTTGCATTCCAGGTTTGTTGAGAAATACAAGGAATTGCAGAAGCAAGGTGAAGTGGATGATGATAGACTCTTTGAAGAAACAGGAAAGGCCCTCTTGGCAGAGGGGTTGATCCTACGGAGAAAAGCAACGGGGAATGTAAGTACTGGCAAAAGAAGCTCTGAAGTGTGGAGAGTGAGTGTATAGATCGGTAATTGTGTGCATGTTGAAGGATAAACATGTTTTTACATGAACTTTGAACTGGATTATGTTGTGTTTATATTTTCTGTGCTATAAACCATTTATGTGATATGTTTACAATATATTAATTTTCACTAGCCTCCGCTCTCATCCTTAATCTCTTGGATTTAACCTGGTCATTTGACATCTGCATTTAGCATAAAAACACATATGTAGTTCAACTTGGGCTGAATATAAGCCAAGCTTTTCAGCCTTTTTTAAGGCTGATAAAGCCCCCCTTGGCTTATAAAGTTATTTATTATTTTACTGGGTTGTTATTATTATTATTACATGATTACATGTGTTGTTTTACTCTATTATTATTATTACATTATTATTATTATTATTATTATTATTATTATTATTATTACAATTATTATTTTACTCTATTATTATTACATGTCTTATTTTTCTCTATTTATTGTTGTTATTATTACATTTATTAATTTATTCTATTATTATTATTACATTTATTATTTTTATTTTAGCACAAATTTGAGCGTTCCCAGAAGGTCTTGCTAGGGGACTCCTGCTCGATTGTTCTGTGGGGTCCCGCAGGCCAACCACATGCATCCTAGACCCCTGCCCATCCTGGCTGGTAAAGGAAGCCAGAGGGGGTTTGGCAGAGTGGGTGGTGGTTAATGCCTCCTATCAAGAAGGCAACATTCCAGCCAGCTTAAAACAAGCTGTTATAAAACCGCTTTTGAAAAAGCCATCACTGGACCACACTCAATTCATCAACTATCGGCCAGTTTCCAACCTCCCCTATTTGGGCAAAGTCCTGAAACGTGTGGTGGCCTCGTAACTCCAGGAGTTCCTGGTAGACACGGATTATCTGGATCCGGTGCAGTCTGGCTTTAGGCCGGGACATGGTACCGAGACAGCCTTGGTCGCCTTAGTGGATGATCTTCACCGGGAACTGGACAGGGGGAGTGTGTCCCTGTTGGTTCTGCTGGACCTCTCTTCGGCCCTCGATACCGTCGACCACGGTATCCTCCTGGGATGCCTCGCGGGAATGGGCCTTGGGGGTACTGCGTTGCAGAGGCTCCAGTCCTTCCTCGAGCGGCGTTCCCAGAAGGTGTTGCTAGGGGACTCCTGCTCGACTCCACGACCATTGTTCTGTATTGTTTCCTATGTTGTTCAACATATACATGAAGCCGCTGGGAGAGATCATCCGGAGTTTCGGGGTTTGGTGTCATCTGTACGCAGATGATGTCCAACTCTGTGACTCCTTTTCACCTGCTACTAAGGAGGCTGTTCAGGTCCTGAACCAGTGCTTGGCCGCTGTAACGGACTGGACGAGGGACAACAGATTGAAACTAAATCCAGACAAGACAGAGGTACTCCTGGTCAGTCGAAAGCCCGAACGGGGCATAGGGTTGCAGCCTGTGCTTGACGGGGTTACACTCACCCTGAAGGCACAGGTTCGCAGCTTGGGAGTGATCCTGGACTCATCGATGAGCCTGGAGCCCCAGGTTTCAGCGGTGGTCAGGGGAGCTTTTGCACAATTAAAACTTGTGCGACAGCTGCGCCTGTACCTTGGGAAGTCTGACTTGGCCACAGTAGTCCACGCTCTGATTACATCCCATTTAGACTACTGCAACGCTCTCTACGTGGGGTTGCCTCTGAAGACTGCCCGGAAGCTTCAAATGGTCCAACGAGCGGCAGCCAGATTGCTAACAGGAGCGGGGTACAGAGAGCATACGACTCCTCTGTTATGCCAGCTCCACTGGCTGCCAATTAGCTTCCAAGCACAATTCAAAGTGCTGGTCTTGACCTATAAAGCCCTAAACGACTCCGGGCCAGTTTACCTGTCTGAACGGATTCTCCCCTAAGAACCATCAAGGTTATTAAGATCTTCCGGAGGGGTCCTGCTCTCGGTCCCGCCACCCTCGCAATCACGTCTGGTGGGAATGAGGGATAGGGCCTTCTCGGTGGTGGCCCCTCGGCTTTGGAATTCCCTCCCACCAGAGATTAGATCTGCTCCTTCCCTCCTGACCTTTAGAAAGCTAATAAGAATCTGGCTTTGGAATATGCCATCCGATGATTGAGTCAATAACCCTTGTCCACACGGAAGGATGGCGATGAATTGTGACTATATTTGACGACTTGGCTTGTGTAATGTGATGATGTATTTTATTGTATTTTATGTTTTAATGTATAATGATGATACACTGTGTTGCTTTTCATATTACTGTATATGAATACATGTTGTGAACCGGCCTGAGTCCCTCTTAGAGGTCGAGAAGACCGGTATATAAAACTTCTAAATAAATAAATCATATATCAGGTGCAAAGCCCACTAGCAAGATGAGGGGTGGGGTGTGACATATATTGTGAGGCCCCTTGTTTACAGTGTTTTTTTTTTCTCTCAAAAGCACTGACATAATTGTACACATGGTAGTTTGGCTTTTGGGAGGGACATATTCATTGGCTGCAGGGCATGGAATAGATGGTGAAAATGGCTGTAACAGCCACTCATGCAAAGCAACCTTGTAAGTGTCCACAATATCTGACTTTAAGGTATACTATCAACATAACTCTGTGTGGTTGCTCTGTTTTCCCTGTAGGTGACCCCTGATGCCAGGCCCAGGGATCCTATGCTGGAAGTGAGACTTCAAAGTGTTTTGCAAGAGATGCAAGACAGCTCAAAAGAGCAGAAGCCTGAGACCGCGGAGGAAGTGCCAAAGGAAGGCCCCTAGCCATCCTGTGGCCTCTTCACTTCTCAGCCTTGATTTAAAAATGGGTGTTTGGTGCCACTGGCTACCTGGTCTGTGACATGTGTGACATCCTGGACTGAGAGATTCTTGCAAAAAGCATGGCTGGTGACGTTTGTCCCACTTCACATTTCCCCACTGCTATGAACATTGGTGTGTTGTAGAACCTTGTTACTACGGCGGCAAGAATGGTTTTTGCGAAAATGTGGAAACAGGAACAAATTCCAGTTCTTGATGACTAGTTGAATAAGGTGAGAGAAATAAAGGATATGGATGAACTAACATTTTTATTAAAGAAGAATACCGGGAAGACACTAAAAAGGAGTAATTGGGCTCTCTTTCAGGACTATGATAATAATAGAAGAGACAAAGGGTGAACGGAAAATTACGTAAGAACTATAAAAAGTAAAGTGAGAAGAAACCATGAAGATGGAATGGAAGTCAAACCCCCCCGCCTTTTTCCTCTTTTCTCTTTATTTCTTATTTTTCTATCTTCTTTTGAATGTTCCCCCACTTTGCATGTATGTAAATATGCACCAATCTTCAATAAAAATCATTAAAAATATATTAATAGGACACTTTTTTTCTTGGTTGAGACCCAAAGCAATTTAGGTTAAATATAATCCCCAAGTGGAGTAATTCATTTCACTTCACTTTATTTCTTAATTAGTCGCTCTCCACCAAGGTGCTCCGAGCTACTTACAATTTAAAATAGCATTTACACAATATAAAAACATTCAACATAAAAACATTCAACAGTGACTATTTGGCAAATTAGATCTGATCACTTTACTTAAATGCACAACCAAACAGCCAAGTCTTGAGCACCTTTACAAAAGGTTGCAACTCTGACATTGCTCTAATATATGGAGGCAATGAGTTCCACAGAATTGGAGCATAGATCGAAAAAGCTCTACGCCTTGTAGCTTCCAGGTGTACCTCCCTAGGGCCCGGTATGTATAGGAGATTTTCTTGGGTGGATCGAGGTAACCACTGATGGAAAAAAGGAATGAGGCGGTCCCTAAGATATAAAGGTCCTTGGCCATTTTGAGCTCTAAATGTCAGGATCAGTATCTTGTAAGAGATCTGATGTTCTATTGGTAGCCAATGCAGTTGTTGCAGAATCGGTGTAATATGGGATCTTATAGATCAGGGGTAGGGAACCTTTGGCCCTCCAGCTGTGGTGGACTTCAACTCCCACAATTCCTTGAGGCTCGGCATTGGGCCAAGGTAAGCCTTTGGGGCGAATGCCGAGCCTCAAGGAATTGTGGGAGTTGAAGTCCACCACAGCTGGAGGGCCAAAGGTTCCCTACCCCTGTATAGATGATCCCGCTAGCAGTCTGGCCACCGCATTTTGGACCATCCAAATCTTCTGGGTTGTTGACTTCGGAAGGCCGGCATATAAGGAGTTGCAATACTCCAACCTAGTGGTGATTGTTGCATGGATTGCCGTTGCCAATGCTTCTACCGAAAGGTAGGATGCCAATTTCCTTGCCTGGCGAAGATGAAAAAAGGCCTGCTTACTTATGGCAGTGATCTGGGCCTCCATCGTCAGCGATGAGTCCAACACAACCCCAAGGCTTTTAACAGTGGCAGACGGAACCAGAACTTCCCCATCAAAATCAGGCAGAGACTGGATTAATTCTGTTGGCTGGCCGGGCCAGAGTATCTCAGTTTTTGCAGGATTCACTTTCAGTCTGCTCGCTCACAGCCAACTCATCACTGCTTCCAAACAGCTTAAAGTTCTCAGGAATCACAGTTGTCCCAGGTTTGAGACGCAAGAGTAGCTGGGTATCATCTGCATACTGGTAGCACTCTATGCCAAAGCTCCGCACCAGTCCAGCAAGTGGCCGGACGTAGATGTTAAATAACGGGCGAGAGGATAGCACCCTGGGGAACTCCACAGCAAAGGCAGGAGCTCTCAGAGCTTTGGCCTAACCACTCCACCCTCTGTCTCCGGTCCCGGAGGAACGAATTGAACCATTTCAGGGCTAAACCTCGTACACCAGACAGAGCCAATCGATGAATCAGCAAGTCATGGTCCACGGTGTCAAATGCAGCTGTGAGGTCCAAGAGTACCAATAGCGCTGATCCGCCTTGGTCTAACTGACGACGAATTTCGTCAGTAATAGCTACCAAGACAGTCTCTGTCCCATGACCTGAACGAAAGCCTGATTGAAAGGGGTCCAAGGGGTTTTCTTTGCTATTGTGTTTTTTTCTGTTGCCAAAAGTGCTGTGAATAGGCTTGTTTTAAAGTGGAAACTGACTTGGAGCAAAAGCCCCAAGGAAGTTGGCTCGGCTGAGATCGGAGCTTTCATCTTGGACTCTCCCCTCCCACCCCCCTTTTATCATCACGGCTTGGCTTGACACTGTGCCACCTTCCGAGAAAAGCCGAAGCCATTGGGTCTGCTGCCAGTGGAAGAAGAGATTGGCAGGGGGCTGTTTTGAGGTAGCCGATAATGTGGTCCAATTAACTGGAAAGATTTGGGATGCACAAGTGAGCAGCTAGGCTAAATGAGCTGGCAGGATTCAGGCTTTGCTGATGATGAGGGAGGTTTGTTGGCTCTGCTGTAGTGATGAGAGACGGGGGAATTACTGACTCCCCCTACCCCCCCCTTTTAATTTCAAAGGCAGCTACCAGAGTTAGAAATAGCTTTTGGAATCTAAGTTACTTGTTGGCTGACCTCGGACCCAAAGAACACATTAGTGGAACAGCAGCCACCAGGCAGGCTTGGTCTTTGTTTTTTTTCCCTTCCCAGTGGTTTCCGCTCTTCAATACACTGTGTAATAGGCAAGTGTCCTTCTCACCTTAAAAAGGAACCGCATCTGAGAAGGACAGCTCTGCGTGTTTCATCCTCCTTCTCTCTTGGACAAAAGCTTTGTGGTCCGGGTTCTATCCTTTCAGTGTGACCTTACAAGAGCTGGAGTATTTTAATTAAAAGGTTGCCAGCAAACTCCCTCCTAGGGTGACCTATTTACTTATTTATCAGGCTTTTACCTTCCAGCAGTTAGCAAAAGGTCGCAGGCTTCAGCTACTGCTTGAGATTTAAGATTTTGTGTATGTGTGTGTTTTTAAAATACTCTTTAGTATGGGAAAATATTCTCTAACCTTGGACGGATGTTTTTTTTAACGCACATAATGTTCGTTCCCTGCCGATATTGATTCGTGACTTTTAGGACACCGCGGCTTTGCCACATGCACAGAGAGTCTATGTTTCTCATAGAAGCTCTCTGCAAAAAAAAAAAAAGCCCCAAAAACTGTTCAGTGATTATGGCCAATAATGAGATATTGATTGTTTTGCAAATGTCACCAGTGGAAGGGCAGAAGTGCTGGCAACTGGTAGTGCTAATTCTTCTTTTGTCCACTTGGGGGGACTGTTGGGTTTTCTTTTGTATTTTTGATCTCTCTTAGGAAGACACACATTCATTTCAGGTGGCAAAGTCTTTCAGATCGCCCAGACTAGTACCGTATATTCCAGGGTACTAGACGACTTTTTAGGCATGTAAAACCTTATAAAATGTTGGGGGTCGTCTAGTCCTTGCTCAGGCCTCTCGTTTGTTGGCAGCTGGGTCCCTGGGCTGCTTCCCGCGCTGCTCAGGCCACTCTCCTTCCTGGCCAGGCCTTGCGAGAAGAGCCTCTTCCCCGCGAGACACTTCTCGCGAGGCCTGGTCAGGAAGAAGAAGAGTGGCCTTTGGCGCTGCTCAGGCCGATCTTCTTCCTGGCCAGGCCTCGCACAAAGTGCCTCGTTTTTGAATATTTACTCTACTGATGCCTCAATTAATTTAATTTTCTTGGTATCTATTTCTATTTTGAAACTTACCAGTAGCTGCTGCATTTCTTGCCCTCGGCTTATACTCAAGTCAATACATTTTCCCAGTTTTTTGTGGTAAAATTAGGTGCCTCGGCTTATATTCGGGTCGGCTTATTCGAGTAGATACGGTAGATCACAGCTACTCCTCTTAGGTAACGTATTGGGAGAATTGGGTTGCTCATGCGTAGTTGTTCTGTCACGTGCTGGGCCTGTAAAGAATTGCTTTTAAAATAGGACGTGCAACTTGAGCTCAGCGGGAAGCCAGGGCCCCCCAAAGAGAAGTTCTCAAGGATTTTCCACCACAAATGGACTTTAGTTGGCTTGTGAAGTATAACAAAGTCCTTTATTAATGAACAATCAAACAGAAACTTCTCTTGTCTTCAATAAAGTTAAACAAATGCTTCCAGGCTTTTATGCAACTGGTGGCTTCCTAATCATGTCCACGAGGGACAGGCAATTGTCTTCAATAACTGTTTCTTTACTTTAAAGGAAAATCCCTTTTTAACTTCTCCCAGGCTGACTGTAATCTAAGTCTTACTGATGTGGGCTCCGCTACCGGGTCGAACTGCGTCTCGAGCACCGAGTGGACCTACCAGTAAGGCCAGTAGATTCTCCAGCTGGAGTTCTTTGGTCTTCCAAACTGTTTACCCTCCGAAATTCCTCAAAGCTTTAGGGCTGTTTCCCTGGAAATCTTTGGAAATCTTTGGATGCTCTTAAGACTGTTCTCCCCTGGAAAGTCTTAAGGGTTGAAGCTTTTGTACAGGAGAAGCTTGTACACATCCTCTAAATTAGCTTTCCTTACTGAGACTAACTAAATAAAAATGGCTCCCTTCCCTTCCCAAATGCCCTGAACAAGGGGCGGAACCAAAACTTAACGATGATGGACAGGTGACTTGCCCTACGACTGCAACCAAAGAAAGCCACCTTTCTGCAGAATCCCTGAAACCTTGGACTGCAAGCAAACATTTAATACAAAGCAAATAAAGTTGGAGCTCCTGGTACAGCCATACCAGCACAGTAGTTATTTAGGAAGCAGCCTTTAGGATGATTCACATCGTAGTTCTAGTTTACTTCTTCTTTAGATAATGAGATCCTTCATTGGGAAAAAACAACGAGCCTCTCTTGGGATCAGTAAGGGAAGGATCTAATTCTGCACTGAGAAAAATGAATGGAAATAGTATGTGTGTGTGTCAATCCAGTTAAATTCCAAAAGGAGCACACATGGTATTTGGGAGGCAGATAAAACATCTGCTTGACTCTTGAGTAAAAAGGAAGTGTTTTGTCCCAAAGTCCTGTGGGCTTTGCTAATGAGTCAAGTCAGACTTTGTGTGTCTCTTGAATCTTTCACCCCATTATGGGAGCAACAAGTTGACCTTGGCGGCCTAAATGGCCAACCTCTTCCTTCCAGAAAGCTAACCAAAAGGTCATGAGCCCTCCCTGGACCTTCTGGAAAGCTTCATGAGAGCACATTGTGAGGCACTGGGGCTAACAGTTGGTGCCAAGAGGTCAAGTTTCTTGTCTCCTCCATATGACTGGTGGCATGTTTGAGCTTTCAAATAACATCCTCTCATTTTAACACTTTGAACCAGGATTGAATTCGAAAACACACACTTCTCCCAACAGTTTCCTATCAAAGCAGGTGAGTCTATCGACTCTGTCGAATTAATAAAGCATCCCCAAGACACTATAGAATTTGTTGGGTTGCTGTGAGTTTTCCAAGCTGTGTGGCCATGCTCCAGAAGTATTCTCTCCT